TTTTAACTTCTGATGTTACTGATGGTCTCAATGAAAAATTGGGGGTTCGTTTATCTTTCTACCCATAACATCTAACACACTACCAGGCACACACTAATAAATGTTTGATAGGCCAGGCATGGTGGCTCACGCCTATAATCCCAGCACTTTGGGAGGCCGGGGTGAGAGGATTGCCTGAGCCCATGGGTTCGAGACCAGCCTGGGTAACTTAGCGAGACCTCATCTTTACAGTAATTAATAATAATTTTTTAAAAAAGTTGCCAGGCATGGTGGCACATGCCTGTAGTTCCAGTTACTTGGAAAACTGAGGCGGAAGGATCACCTGAGCCCAGCAGGTCGAGGCTGCGGTGGCCGTGAGGTTGCCACTGCACTCCAGCCTGGGTGACAGAGTGATACTCAACTCAAAAAAATAAAAAATAAAAATAAATAAATATTTGATGAATGAATTAATCATCGCCAGCAACTTCCTTTGCCTTCTGCATTCTCCAAAATCGCCTATTTATTATATTTTAGCTCTTTCACTTGTGAACTACCCCACCCCCTCATAAAAATATTAACCAATAAACTTACACGCGTAGTCATTCCATTTTTTTAAAAAAATTAAGAGAACTCACAATAAGCTTCTTTCTAATAAAGATCAAAGGGGATTTTGCAACACCAAGAGGTTCCCTGGAAAATAACACAGTTCCTCCTCTGGCGCCCTCTCGTGCTTGGTAGCCGCCACTAATCAAGAGTGCTGATGCTTCCGGGAGTGGAGGACTGAAACTGAAACTGAATTTATTTTCTGCATTGCATGTATACAGACCCCTGCGAGTGTGCATGCGCACACGTGCACGCAAACACACAAACACACGCTCACCTTTCTAGACTAAACTTGTTTTTCCCCTTTGCATGTCACTCTCGGCGGTGCTTGTGCCAGGAATTGCAGAATATCCTGTAACCTGGATTTCCCTAGTCTTCACGAGGGCTGTAATACTTTGTCACTTTGAATTCCTTCAGCTCCTGCACACACAGCCTATACAACCCATGCATACATCCTGCAACCCATGCATACATATTTCAGAGGTATGTATCTCTGTACGACATGTGTTATTTGGTAAGACTGCTCTCGTTTCTCTCTCTCTCTCTCTCATCTTTCTCTTTCTGAGTCTAAGGCTCTGAATTCCTTGAGGAGTTGAAACTGCAGGAAATTCTCTTTGGAGGAAGAAAGTATACCCATTCTCCTTCCACTTTTCCTTTATTTAAAGAGGCCCTCAGCTGGGTGCGGTGGCTCTCGCCTATAATCCTAGCACTTTGGGAGGCCGAGGTGAGAGGATTGCCTGAGCCCATGGGTATGAGACCAGCCTGGGCAACTTGGCAAGACCTCATCTCTACAATAAATCAAAAAATCAGCCAGGCATGGTGGCATGTGCCTGTAGTTCCAGCTACTTGGAAAACTGAGGCAGAAGAACTGCCTGAGCCTAGCAGGCAGAGGCTGCGGTGGCCATGAGCGTGCCACAGCACTCCACCCTGACCGATGGAGTGAGACTCCAACTCAAAAATAAAAAATAAAGAGGCCCTCCAAGCAGTGCTGTTTGTTCATCAATGTCTTGCAAACAGGCCCTTTCATTTTTGCTGTGTGCACCGCAGGGCTCTCACATGTGACCATGGGAACCTGACAGGCTGCCTCGACAGAATGCTTCCTCAGAAGGAAACTGTCTTTCGAGGCGGGGTGATCCTGGGTAAGGAGACAAGATTTCCAGGGACATGGTGGTGATATAGGCAGTATGCCCTTTGCCAGTGAGTTTCTTGCCATGATTTCTCTTTTTTTTTTTTTTTTACGGGCCTCAACCCTAGGAGTGGTCCTGGCTCCCTGCTATTGCTAGTTGCTAGCTTTGGGACACAGCAACATTCCTTGTTGGGTTTTCTTTAACCCTACCCACAACATTGTAAATATTTTACTACATTTCCTCTCAGTTACCTCTCAGTTACCCCCATGCTGTCTGTTTCCTGCCAGGACCCTAACTGATACACATGATGTGGTCGAAAGGAACTTTGAAGTCAGACAGAAGTAGACTTGAGTACTGGCCAGCCACTTAATAGCTGTGTTACCTTGGGTAAGACTAAGAAGATAAGCACAGTATTCATCAAACCAGAAAGACTCAACTCTGTGAGGTCAGACACTCCAGCTCAGTGTTTGGCACATAGTAGGTATTCAGGAAAGATGCTTGCAGGCCAGGCGCACGAGCTCGAGCCTGTAATCCCAACACCTTGGGAAGCTGAGGCGAGAGGATTGCCTGAGTTCAGGGGTTCGAGACTAGCCTGAGCAACATGATGAGACCTCGTCTCTACAATAAATCAAAAAATTAGCCAGGCATGGTGGCACATACCTGTGGTTCCAGCTACTTGGAAGGCTGAGGTGGAAGAATCACCTGAGCCCAGCAGGTCAAGGCTGCAGTGGCTGTGAGCATGTCACTGCACTCTGGCCTGGGCGACAGAGTGATTCCGACTCAAAAAAAGAAAGAAAGATGTTTGCATGGACATATTTCTCCATACCTGATAGACCCAGAAGAAGATTAAGAGGTCAACTAGTCAAACATACTTATTTTATGGATGACACCCAAGGATGTGTCATGATTTGTACAAGTAGTGGGTCTCAGACACGCTCTTTAGTGTAAGACGGGTGCAAGAATGTTCATAATAGCCAAAAGCTGGAAACAAATCAAATGTCTGTCAACAGGAGGATGTTTAAACGTGTGGGATACTCATACTGGAATGCTACTTAGCAATAAAAAGGAATAAACCACTGATACATGAAATGACCAGGGCAGGCTTACTCATTTGGCATGGTAGACACAGCACAGTTCTGGGGCCAGTGAAAATGAACTTTTAGGCTAAAGAAAATGTGTTATTATACAGGATTGTTACATTTATCTTTATCACAACACAGTCATAAGACATACTTTAAAAATATTATATATATATATGTATATATATATGGAAAGGGCTCATGGAGTACTTAGGGGCTACAGAAGTCATAATGTAGCCTTATAAACAATAAAGATAAATATTAAAACATATGCTGGCCATTGCTTTGCTAAATTCTGGTCTGGCCACGTGGCTCTTTGAGCTATGGTCGCCGTGTTTCCTAGCTTTGGCCCTCTCCCCTACCTTGGGGAGGTGAATCTCCTCTCTATTTTATCTCTCTCTCTCTCATTTACTTTCTAAAAAAATCTATTTTCCAATTTTTAAAAAAGTATGTTAAGTTAAAAAAAAAAACACTCAAGACACAAAGATTACATGCTGTACAATCCCATTTAAATGAAGTTCGAAAACAAGCAAAACTAGTCTGTGTTGACAGTGATAAGAAAGTAATTGCCTGTGGGATGGGGAGAGATGCCCAAGAAAGGAATGAGGGCACTTTCTGGGATGCCAGACATGTTCTACATCTTGATTTTGGTGATGGCTACCTAGATGCAAACATTATTTTTTAAAATCATGGAACAGAACCTTTAGGATCGGTGCATTTTATTGTATATTAACTATGCCACCATTTTCAAAACAGCAAGGGAGAGGATACATTAGGATACAAGAATTATTTCCATGCAAGATTTGATAAATAAATTCCTACCACAGTGTGAGGTGGCAAGGTTTTACATTGCACTGTCATAGAAAAGCTTTAGGAGCTCAGAGGGAAGAGTTGAGGAGTTGTGACAGACCAGTGGAGAACGAACCATTCTGCTCTGCACCACTCAAGATTTTTTATTGCAAGCAGAATAGGTCTGGTAAACTAAAGCAGAAAAGGAATTTGTTGGAAGACGCAGGAAGTACTGTATCAGGAAGGAATGAAGAGAGGAAAAGCACAGACAGAATCAGACCATCAGATCGCAGGTGGATCATAGGATGCCATCAAGCCTACACCCTTGCCCCACCCAGCCCAAGTCTATCTCAGGCCTTCACTGCATCTTTTCATTACTCCTCCAAAAGTGAAAAACCTGTGTGGGAGTGTCTGATTGGCTGCGCCTAGGTCAAGCCTATACATAACTCCCAAGGAGATGGGAGATAGAATGTGTGTTTTTTGGCTTCTAGACTGGGAAGCGGGGTCCCCAAATGACCAACGTTCCCCGCACAAGCTATTGTTCAGATTTCTCCTTGTCACACTAAACCGTCCAGTTCCAAACCACCGGTCTGGGCTCTGGAGCTTAAACCGCAGAATCGGGTGTGTCACTCTGCCTCAACCATCTCAGAGACTGAGATGGGCCGGGACCTGGGCAGGGAGAGCAGTTCTACTGGTAAGATACGTTTGGAAGGCACATGGGGATGACAGGTGATGAATCTGGAATGTGGGAAGGCTAGAAGAAAGTAGTCAAAGGAGGTATCTGACTTGAGAGGGGGCGGGGAGGTGAGTGAGTGGGTGTGTGAGTGTGTGTGTGTGTGTGTGTGTGTGTGTGTGTGTGTGGCGACGGTGACATCCAAGAGAAGCAAGGGATAGGTTTGTTTCATTCCTGTTTGGGGTGGTTGAGGGGGAAGGTTAAGTTTTTGATGTGGGATTTGAGATGAAGACCTTCAATACACAGCTGAAATGACAGTTTGGGCAAAGGTCAAGTCTGGGATGGCCACTGGCTGGATCCAGGGTGGTGAGGAAGAAGACGGGGAGAGGGCGCAGCAGATGCCTGACACAGAGGACCGGCGTGGGCGCCGAGCACGTGCCCTCGGGGCCGCCTTCCGCGCCCCAGGGGGGTCCCGCGTGCCCTCCCCCCAGGCCCCGCCCCCGTGGG